TGCGGACACGACATGAGACCACTGTGGACTCTGGTGGTCGTTTTTTCTTTCAAGGTTGGACTATGTGCTTTAGTTCTTAGCATTGTAGCTGTTGCAATGTAATTCTTAAGAGAGATGTCACTATTGGAGAAACATTGAAACTTCTTCACATTCAAAATGCAGCTCTGAAATGTGAAACCATTTGGGGACAGAATGTGAGTCAGACACTGAAGAGTTTCCCGCCTTGTCTTGTCTTGTTTTCCCACCTTTGACGTCCTCTCTGCATTAAAACGTATTCACGACCCCGTTTAAAAGTGGTTAAGGCTGGCGTGGCTGGCGTGGCTGTGGCTGGCGTGGCTGTGGCTGGCGTGGCGGTGACCGTGGAGGGTGCGTTCCCGAGGCTCTCTCTGTGTTTTTATTACCGTTTGTACATTTGAAAATAGCCTTTGAATCATCTTGTCTTTCAGTTTCCTTACAAACCTGAGGGCTTAACCCACAGCTGTGCCCTAGCGTGTAAGCATATGCTTTTATTCATGGATTTTATGGGCGCTTCATCGGTCCCCTTCAGAAAACCTTTTGTATTCTCCAAGCTCCTTCCTTATTTATGTCCTACGTGCATCTTACCCGGGACTGTCTCGGATCCTGACCACCTTGTGCCCTGAGAAGGCTGTGGTGGATGGAGGCCATGTTTCCTACCCTCGCCCAGCGCGCCGTCTGTACGTGGGTGTTGGAGGTCGGAGGGGAGGAAGGGAGGGAGGTGTGCGGGTCCGTGCGGGCGACAAGGCGTGACTCAGCATGTGTGTAAAGAGGTGAGAGCCGGCGGGGGATGGATCTGGGGAGGCGGACGTTTATTTCTGCTGCGAAGCTCTGAGCACGTGCTGCATCCACGCGTGGGGAAGGCGAGGGCGGCGCTTCGTGGAGGGCGAGGAAGTGGACGGTCTCGTGGAGTCTGTGCAGGCACGTCTGTTCTCCGTGTGCCCCATACGAGTGGTGACCAGAGCGGCCGTCACCGCCAAGGGACAACGCGGTGCCACCCTGCCACCTTGCTGTGACCTTGGGATCCGACCTCCTGCCCACGTACCCGCGTCTTGGGGGAGAACAGCACCCTCTAGCGGATAGAACCCACCGCCGGCTCTGTGTCTTCATGTAAGTATCTCTCTTACAGCCACTGGGATACATTCAAGTCGTGTGTTCACTTTAAACGTGCAAAGGGCGCCCAGGGGTACACCCTGCCTCTCCCCAGTGTGCCCAGCCCCGGATCTTCATCGGTGAGTCTTCATCGGTGACGGCACCTGGGAACGAGGGGGTTGATCTTGGGGGAGGCAATCGGGGCCTGGGGGGCCGTGTGTGCGGGCTGGTGCGTGTTTTCCCAGGTCCCAGCGCCTGACTGACAACTGACAGTGCCCTGAGCGCCCACAGACTCGTCTCCCCGCGACGGGGAGGGTGGGTTTTGTCGCCCAGGGGTGCGATGGGGTTGGTGAGATGAGGTAGGTGTTCCTCGCTGAGAACCGACACCCTCCTTTTTCTTGCAATCTCCAAAAATCCCCGGATCGAAAACCCATCGGCTGCATCCCTCACGGTGCTTAAAACTCATAAGCGAAGGAGTAAGCTTCTCTTTCCCGCGACTCCGTCTGCCGGGAGGAAATCGGGGGGTGGGGGGTGTTGTCGAACGGTCAGGGGAATCCGTGGTCATTTTCCACACGAGGAAACTTGCCGTCCATCTTTCTCTTGAAGAGGCCACCGGGTGAAAAACCAAGTTTGACTTTGAGGGGGGTCATTGCGAAGCATCGCAAAGGCGGTCAGGAGTTTAAAGTTTTACAATCACACATCAAATGTTGTTCTTTATATACTTCTGTTTCTGGGCGAGTTTTGTATTGATTAAGCAAAGCATTTGACTTGATTTGAGGGGCAGTAAAATGAAAGGTGCATCTGATTCTAAGCCTGATGGAGACACCGGTGCCCTGGTGACATGGGTGACGCCGGTGCATACGCCAAGGGCTGGGGTGGTGGCCGAGGGTGTCCCTGTGTAAATAAGGCGCTCACTCCCGCGTGCGATGAGTGTAATTTACTGATGCCACAGTGCTTCCCGTGTGTGCCCGCCCTCCCCGGCTCCCGTTACAAAACCCCGTCCCTGTGTTGATGTACTCGAGCTGTTGCTGTTCACATGTACATGATATTTATTTTAGCCAAAATGTTACTCACGTGAAATGTTTTTCCCTTTACAATGAATGTATTATGTGTATAACCCGCAAGCGCATAATCTCCCCCGTGCCTCGTATTCCCATAGTTCTGTCCTAGGGAATTCCTTTGTGAAAGACTGTTATTTTGTTAATGCTTCAGATACACAGACTGAGAACACTCGGATGTCAGCTTGGAACATTGTATCATATCCTAATATCAATAAAAACATACAGTTCAAACCCGAGCACAATAAACGTCTTATGTCTCTGTGATGTTTTCCCCTCACATCTGCCATGATCTCTCTCACCCACCACCCTACTTCGGAAACAGCCCTTCCTCGAGCCCCTCACTCGATTGTCCTGGAGTCGCCCCAGATCGGCGCTGTCCGGGCGGCGGGGGAGCCTGGCTGTGCCCTGAACTGCGGCACGTCCTCCCGCCCCTCTTCTCTCCAGCACGACACCCATGTTGTGAGCCACACCTGTCACCTCCGTGTCCCTCTGAACTCTCCAGCGTTTGCCAGACACAGCATTTGGGGGAGCCCTGCTGAGTCTCCCCAGAATAACGAGGTGGTCATGGGATGGATTTGGTGGAATTCTTTTCCGGCTTCTATGGATTTTTAACACCTTTTCACAGAAAAGCGCGCACGGAAACCGCTGCCTCCCGGAACGGGGGCGCATTGGGTGGGAGCCGCGTCCCTGATACAAAGCTGGGAGCGGGGCTGTGGCACCTGCGAACCAGACGGCCGAGCACGGTCCCTCCCGCCGACTGTCCCGTGCGTGGCACTCTTCCCGGCGAGGCCGAAAGCCGCTCTCATGTCCACAGAAGTCAGACAGGGACCTTTGCACCCCGAGACGGAGCCATCATCTCGGCTTCCAATCGGTTCCGCTTCCTCTGCGTCGGCACCAGCGCGGTCCCCGCGGCGGCTCGTTAGCGAGGGCCCCGCTGTCCTGACCATTGATGGGCGGCAGCGCAGGTGGCTGGGCCACAGCGTGTCCTCCCCCCCCTCCTCGCTGCTCCCCGGGGAGGGCCAGTCACGGAACGACCCCCACGCCGGGCGCGTGGAGAGGCAGAGCGGTGTGATGTCCGTTGCCCACCCGTCCACGGGCTCGGGGAGTCATGTCACTGTCCTGCGGGCAAAGGGGACACGTAGCCGACGTGTGTGCGGGCCTGTGCAGGAGTGTGTATGCATGTGAGCATGTGGAGTGTCCATGCGTGTGTGCACATGCACGGGTATGTGTGCAAGGGTGTGCAGTACACACGTGTATGCATGTGTGCACGCAGGCGTGTATGAATGTGTGCGCGTGTGAATGTGTGAGTGTTTATGTGCGTTGTGCTTTTGAAACCCAGTTAAGCCGTAGGTTAAACCACAGGAATTCCCCCCCTGACTTAAAAGCCCCGCCCTCCCCACCCCCTCCTTAGAGGCGGGGGGAGGGCTTCCCAGGCAGAAACTCCCCGGGGACGGCCAGTCACGGAACGACCCCCACGCCGGGCGCGTGGAGAGGCAGAGCGGTGTGATGTCCGTTGCCCACCCGTCCACGGGCTCGGGGAGTCATGTCACTGTCCTGCGGGCAAAGGGGACACGTAGCCGACGTGTGTGCGGGCCTGTGCAGGAGTGTGTATGCATGTGAGCATGTGGAGTGTCCATGCGTGTGTGCACATGCACGGGTATGTGTGCAAGGGTGTGCAGTACACACGTGTATGCATGTGTGCACGCAGGCGTGTATGAATGTGTGCGCGTGTGAATGTGTGAGTGTTTATGTGCGTTGTGCTTTTGAAACCCAGTTAAGCCGTAGGTTAAACCACAGGAATTCCCCCCCTGACTTAAAAGCCCCGCCCTCCCCACCCCCTCCTTAGAGGCGGGAGTAGTGCTTCCCAGTCAGAGCATCAGTCCCTGAGACGGCGGATCACGCACCTCGTGCAGCGATGTCACAGGCGCGACTTAAGTTTGGCCCCGGGCGGACGATGGCTTTTTTAAAACGTGTATTTCTGCTGAGTCATCAATCTGGGGGGTGGATTTCTTCCAGTAAAAACTTCAGATAAAAGCCGTTTCCGCCAAACGCATGCCAACGGCGAGGCTCCAGGGACAATCGGCCTGGACATCATCGCAGGGGTTGAGAGTTATATGAACCAGGAGGTCAGGGTTCGATTCCCAGTCAGGGCACCTGCCGGTGTTGCTCGGTGGGCGGAGATGCTTGGCCAAATACTCCGCCTGGCTGAGGCGGAGAGGATTCTGCAGGACAAGCTCCCGGAGGCGAACCCTTTGCCTTCACAAGCGGAATCTGATCGTGTGGGGCACGGCCCTGGGTGAAAGGGTGGGGAGCGCTGTCCGTGCTCAGGGCCGAGCCCACGTCTCATTCAACGGCCCCCGGAAGCGACCGGCCCCCAGAACCGCGGGTCATAAATTGCGCTTTGCAGGAGGCTCAATTACCGCCCCCGTCTCCTCCGAGAGGCCGGCGGAGCTGAAATGCAATATTTCATTTCTGACACTCAATCGATGCGGGTGGCCGTGGAGATCTATTATGCCTTTACAGTAATTTATGGACGTCCTCGGGTTGCGCGGAGCCGGCGGGCTGTCGGAACGCGTTGGGTTCTATCAATAGGTTCCCGGGGCCAGTCGGAGTGAGGGGTTAGTGGGAGTCCCTACAGGCACCGAGGAAAAGCAGGCGCTTCATTCCGACCGTTAAGGAAACTCTACCCCCGCCCGGCCGGCGTGGCTCAGTGGTGAGCGTCGACCTATGAACCAGGAGGTCAGGGTTCGATTCCCGGTCAGGGCCCTTGCCCGGGGTGCGG